CAGACCCAAAACACAGAAAAAAGGACAGGAGTGATAAAAGCATCAGACAGGCCCAGACTCTGTGGTGTCACCTCTAGGCATGTGCAGATGTCACCAGGACTCTCCTCGCATACCTGAGTGCCAAAGTACATGCAATCAAGTGGGTGAAACCAAAGAAGCAAAGGATTTTTTTAAAGTGAGAACAAAGGTTGTTAGTCTTTATAAGATTGTAGGCTTTAAAGTTAGAAGGATCCATATCCCTGCTCTGTTGCTTTGACTCTGTATGACAAGTCATTTTGTCTCTCTGGGCCTCAGTTTCCTCATCTATCAAATGGAGAGATGATGACAACTAAGGTCCTTTCTGACTGTAAAAACGTATGATCCTCCTTCCTACTTGAGGTATCGGTAGCCTGTTAAACCAGGGAGTAGAGGGGCTTCCCCTTCCCAAAAAAACAGGTCTGGAAGAAATGTCCCATTCACATTCCTCTTAAGCTGGTCCCTTCTTGAAGTTTTTGCTATACCAGCCCAGCTTCAATAAGACCCTATCCTAGAACCTTGGGGTTGGAAGAGACTTCTAAGGTAACCATCTTTATGATACATGAGATCACCAAGTGGAAGGGGAATAAGGCATGTTCTCCTTAATCCCAGAGGGCAGAGCTAAGACCCCAGGAGTAAGTTATGAGGAGAGGCAGATAACATCTCAACAAAGAAAGACTTCCTAACATTGGAAATGGATTGTCTCATTATGTATTGAGTTCTCTGTCACTGACTGGAGGTGTTCAAGCCAGAGGATAAGCAATCACTTGCCAGGAACATTCCAGAGAAGGTTCCCACATCAGGGAGAGGTTTGGGTTGCATGACTCCCCAGGTCCCTTCCAACAAGATATTCTGTGATTTGGAGTCATGCAGACCAACCTCCCTCATAATGCAGGGATACCCACTATAGAATCCTTGAGTGACGCATATGGACAGTTTGTTTCTTTGTGGCCTGAAGTATGTGACCCAATTAACCCCATACCCTATCTCATTCTTGCCATCCTCCTAGGCTTCTGTGGATATCTCTATCTAGCCCCAGAAATCCTGATCTGAAAGGGCAGAAAAGCCTCACCTTCCACCTAAAGAAAAAATGCAAAACTGTGTGGTGTCACATCAGAAACCCCAAGTAAGGATCAGTGATACTGACAGCCAGGTTAATTCTCCTATAAGCATATGCATGCGCAGGAGTACGTACACACACACACACACACACACACACACACACACACACGGACACACACACACACACACGGACACACATTCACCCAAAGGCAGAATTAAAAGATTGTTAGGGCAATGAAATCTTCACAGCAGCAGTCCAGCAATCAGCCTAATTTTCCCTCATTGCTGAAAGCTCCTTAAGGTCTCAGTCTTAGAAAAAAAGAACCTCATGCTGAGACTGGTGAGGGAACAGTCAGTAGGCAGCCCAGGCTTGATTCATTAGTGTCTCGATTTACAAGTCCATTCCATCCACACTCAAAGCCACCTCTGTGAAACTGTGCTCTAATACTGCCCATAGAACATAAGATGAATCTGCTCTTGGATCCTGGAGTGTGCCCAGTCTCCAATGCCAAATGCCAATTGCAGGAAGGCATTTCAGATACACTCAAATTACCAGCATATTGGGAGAGGGGTTGGGGAAAGACATTGGCCAAATGGAAATGGACAAGATGGTAGGAAAAGAGAAAATTTTATTTCCAAACTAAGAAGGTATTACAAACAATGGATGATTAAAAAAAATAAAAATAGCATCAAAATGTCACCTGACAATAAAGTTACAGAGTAAAATATGTATACATTAAGCTACTTTATCCCAAACCAAAGCATGGAGAGAGGGTAGCAATACACCTGAAAGGGTACAAAACAAAAAGTGATCATGGTTCCCAACAGGAGATGTCTGGTGATGTGTACAGGGCACTTAGCTAACACCTTTCACTGGTGCAACTGAAATCTCAGAGTGAAAATAATTAAAATGATGCAAAGAAATTCACACTCCATGCAGTTTGTCATTAAGAAAATTCTCTGCAGAATGGCAGAGTTAGGCTAGAAGATGAAAAGATTGGAAGGATCAAGGCCCTGATCTTTCTTCTCTGATGCTAATGCTATGTTCCAAAAGTTCTTGGATTCTTAGTCAAGGGCTTCTCCCTGCACTGAGAAGGCATCTCCTTGCCATCTCCATCCTGAATGTGATGCCCTGTATCCTAACTGCCATTCTTCCCAGTCCAAAGTCATAAGATGAGGGTCTATCTGGATCCTTAGCTATACTACACGTCCTCAAACTGAGTAAAGTAATTCATTTGGACTCTATGGTCCTCTTACCACCTGCCAAAACACACTTCCCATCACTACCTTGTAAGAAACTTCAAACAACCAAAAGCTTAGTCAGCCATAGAGACCAGCCTGTTGGTTGCATAGAACCAGATTCTAGACTCAGGCAATTCCCAAGGGTGCTTTTTCACTACATCTATCCACTAAGGAACATGGGCTGATAATCTACTCTATTGCAACAACAAAAAGTAACTCTCCCCAAAAATCCCTAGGTTCAAAAGCTGAATAAATTCTACTGTCACTCATTTTGATCACCCTACAAGTCCCAAAGTACAGAACTAATGCGCTTCAGCATTTACCATATAAAGGATTTCTGGAAGCTGCCTGGCTGAGGCTGGAGGAGTCAGAGGGCATGGAAGGCACTGTGGACAGCCCTGAGATTGGAGCTGCCCAAAGGATGCTCAAGCTCTTCCTCAGATATCATTAAATAGCCTCTCCCACTCATGGCATCATGAAGGCAAAATGGTCATTTATATAAAGAGAAAAGAAGATAACAGGGCCACTTGATACTGGGTGATGCTCACCACCATCTCAGCATGAAATATAAAGACAGAACCAGAAATGAGGCTCCCCATCTTCTTCCTGCTTATGGGACTCTTAAGTGCTCCCTGGGAGACTTCAGCCTCTCAGGAGGCCATGCCCAGAAGCCATTTTGACTCGAATATCAAAGTAACCTCTTGAGTTATACTTTAATCAGATAACACTTGATCACAGATCTTCTAGGAGACTGTTCCTAGTTCATAATATGCACATTAGGAAAACTATTCATTCTACTCATGAGGTTGAGAGAAACAGATGAGAAAGGAGATTCAAACAGAACCTCTCAGATTGCTCAAAATTTTACCACATCCCATGACTGCATTGCAAGGGTCTGGGGTATTTTTAAGCTAATTTACACAAAAAGCACAGATAAGGTGCTTGCTTCCAATGGGACCACTATCCACTGCTACTTCTACACCCCTAGCAAGTTAAAATCAGTTGCAGCGCTTTAACTAAAAAGTCCTACTGAAAACCTAGAGGAGATATGTATTTCAGGGTTCTATTAAACTTGGGAAGGGAGGGGGATGTGGTGAGGGAGAAATAGCTTAATGATTTTTTTTTAAAGATTCCCATTTTAGATTTACAATCCCAGAATCTAGGTCTAAGATCTATTGTCTAATTAGTTATCAGTGATGTAGTTGAAAAAAAAAAACAAAACACTGGATTAGATTTCAGGGAAGACCTGGGTTTCAATCCTATGTGTCTGCCACTAACTCACTGTGTGAGCCACGAGAGACGTTGCCAGTTAGATCTTCAGGTTTCTTTTGTATAAATTTTGAGGATTGGATGGGATGTTGAGATCCCTTCCCACTATGTTCTAGATTCTAAGGACCCTTCTAGTTCTAACTAGTCTATCTAAGACAGACCTATCTCATGTTAACAATAAATGGTGCTAAGTTATGGTCAGAACATAGAGGGGAGAGAAACAGCATTATCTGTCACTTAACTCATCACTGCTCAAGGATGCAGAGCTCTGTTTCCAGAATCACAAGGCAAAGAAATAAAGTACATGCAAAACACGAGAGGTGCAGGACCAAGAAAAGCCAAAAAATCTTGTAAGCCTTATCTCTCAGTCACTCTCAGTTGGGTCTCCACTATCCTTGCCTCACTCTTTAGTTGGTAATTCTTGCGCTGTGTAGACTGAATGTATTGGCTTAAAGAAAGTACAATATGGTGGGAAAAGAAAGAAAAAAAGCACCGGTTTGGACACAGGAGTCCTGGGTTTGATTTGAGTCTCTCAGCTCTACCATTTACCAACTGTGTGACCTTCATCAGAAGTCACTTGACTTCTCTCTTCCTCAGTTTTCCCATCTGTACAATAGGGATATGGCTTGAACTGCCTGCCTCGCAGTACTGTTGCAAGGGACACATTTTATAAATCATCAAGCACTATAGAAAATGGGAGCTATTGGTGTAAATAAACAAAGCCATTTCAATCTTTTATATTCTGAAATTCTCACCAAGAGGCAGTATGAGGAAATGGAATAATAAATTCCGAGTCAAAAGACCTAGGTTTTATTCCTGGCTCTGCCACATACTGTCTGTGAGACCTTGGGTAAGTCCAGTCTCTCTCCTGGGCCTCAGTTTCCCCATATAAGACAAGGAGACTAGATGACCCCTAATGACTCTTCCAGGTCTAAAATATGATCCTTGGATCCAATCTGCGTTTCTGGACAGTACTCATATTCCTTCTCAAGCAACATATCCTCAAGCTGGGATTCTTCTCTCCAAATATAAGCCTTTCTTCCCTTCCTGAGGCTTCCTCTCATCAAAAGTATGTTTAAACACTGAGGAGGTGCTCTCTCCACCCACCTGCTCTCTTCTCCAGAAGGAAGAAAACTACCTGCATCTTCCAAGCTAAATGACCCCAGGGTTAGTAGCCCATCATTTAAAGTACTCCCTGTGCCTTACCTTCAAGGCCTGGGTCTCTCTGGTGGGGTTTTGGTCATTCATCCCTCACTTTCTAAGCTAATTTATACAAAAAGCATGGATGGGATGCTTCTCCAATGGGACCACTGTCCATTGCTACTGCCACATCCTCAATAAACTGAAATCAATCACGTCACTTGAACTCAGGTTGGGCCTGGGTTAGCTTCTGCTCAGGGATGGGTATTTACCTTGAGTCCACCACAGACTGGACATGATGTAAAGAAAGCTCTTGGAGCCCCGGGGCGGGGGCTACACATTTCACAAGGCTCAGCAGACACTCCACTAGGTGAAACCGACTCACTACTTTGGGATTCTAACACCTGTCCTGGAGGTTTGATGCCTGACCATCTGGAAAGAAAATCTGCATAAGTCTCATCACCCAAGTCTTTGGTGCCTTCGGCAAGGGAAGCAGTGGGCCCCCCCAAGTCTTGGTCAGGCTCAGAGGCAGCTCCTGCCTCCAAGGGTAGGGCTGGTGCTGCTTTGGGGTCACTGGCCTGTTGAGGGCCTGGGGCCTGGTCCTTGGGTCCTGTGGAATCTGCACCATCACCATGCTGAGCATCCTTAGCAGCTGCTTGTAATACACTCCTGGGTGTATCATAGAGATGTCGGAAAGAGCTGGGAACCTGATACTCCAGGCCCCTGTGGGGCTCACTGGGCTGGCAAGTGCACAAACTCTGTTCTGAAGCAAAGTTCAAAGGCAAGCTGAGCAGGGAACCAAACTCGTCACCATGGCAGATGTCCAGGCTCCCAGCATAGGAAGAGAAGCTACCAGAGTAAGAAGAGTGACTCCCGGTGGCTATTCCACTGTCAGAAGAACTCTGGCGGCCGATTTCCTGGAGCTGTCTGGACCGGAGAGGTTTTGGCAGCGGCTTGGCGGCACCATGTGTAGCCTCCGCGTGTGCCTTGTCTTCCCCAAGTTGGAAAGACTTAGCAGATGCCAGCCCATGGCTCTCCTGGGAGGTGCTGGCCGAGGACTGCTCGGGCCAAAGAGCGAGTCGGCTCCCAGCACTGGCATCTGAATGACTGGTGTCTGACGAAGAACTGGACAAACTCCTGTCATCCCCTGAAACAAGAGAAAAAAGCAAGGTCATCCAGGTGCCGACAGCCAGGAGACAGAATGGTAGAATGCTAAAGGTGAAAGGTCATCTAAGTCCAACCCTCACCTTTTACAAATAACAAAAATGAAGCCCAAAGTGGGAGGGGCAGCAAGGTGGTGGAGAAGGCAAGGGATGACTTCCCAAAGGTCCACTAGCTAGTAAATGTCAGAGCAAGAAATCAGACCCTCTAACTAATCAGGTCCTCTAACTAATGCTTCAAGTCCTGTTTCAGCCTGGTCCATTCCAAAAACATCAATTATTAATTTATTAATAATTTTTAACTTTTTAATTCTCATTAGATTTAGGGCACAGTACCGGACAATGAAGACACAAAGGTTAAAAATGACACAAGTCCCTGCCTTTAAAGAACTTACAGCTAGTAGCAGGTCACATGTTGACTATATGACCTTGAGCAAATATATTACAATGATAAAAAGAACACTAAACTTGGAGATGAGAACCAGCCTGGCCCATAGTAGGCACTTATTAAAGATGTATTGATTCACCAGGGTCTAAGTTCTGGCCCTATCACTTACTAGCTATCAGACAGTGGACAGATGATGTCCTCTCTACAGGGCTTCAATTTCCTCATCTACCTCACAGAGCCACTTTCTAACACTGAAAGCACTCTAGCAATAGGAGTTATTATTACCCCAGCCTTGCCAACCTCACAGGACTATAGTGAGGATCAAATGAGACAATGTATGAGAAAGTAATTGTAAAGTTAAGAAAATATTAATGTAATAAAACATAGTAAAATCTAGAACTCTAAGTTGTTGTTCAGTCATGTTCGACTCTTCCTGACCCCATTTGGGGTTTTCTTTGCAAAGATACTGGAGGGGTTTGCCATTTCCTTCTCCAGCTCGTTTTCCAGATGAGGAAACTGAGGCAAACAGGGTTAAGTGACTCACCCAGGATCACACAGCTAGTAAATGCCTGAAATCGGATTTGAATTCAGGAAGATGAGTCTTCCTGACTCTGTGCCACCTAACTGCCCCTTTCTAAAAGCTAGCAGAATACAAAGAGGGAAATGGAGGAAGAGGGGAGGATTTTATTTTCCTATCATGCTTTGCTCTATAGATCCATCAGTAAATGCAGGTCCATGGAGAAATTTTAAATCCAAACATCTGTCATCACTGTGCGCAAAGAGATCAACTAGAAAGCCATCATATTCTGTGGCCATGAACAGACTCCAAGGTAGCGAAGGAGCTCCAGAGCCAGGCTGACTTGGGAGAATGCCTCCAAACTAGAGGCTGACCCAGAGCTGCTGAGGAACTCTCTGCACTGCTGGCCACTTTTAATCCCCCTCCAATTAATCATAACAAAACGAAGATTTCACAGGGCACGTGAGAAAAGAAGCAGTTGTTCAGAGTATGATTAGCTTTGCCCTTGGTTGCTATATACAGAATACTGGAAGGCTACATACTGAGAACCAAGCCCTCCTGACCAGCACGTGGGCAGTCAGAAATGCTCCAGGCAAGAATACAGCCTGGTTCACTTATAGAAGGCCTTATGGACTGCCAACTCTATCTGTGTTAAATGGGCTGCTTTAATATCAAGCCAAATATGAGGATGGGGACAGAAGCTGGACCTGTGATTTTTATCAGGATAAGGAACTTCCAGGTGAGGGAGCTCCCTCTACCAATACAGGTTGGCACTTTCTCTGTGGTCTCAGCCAGTTGCCTCAAACACTAGGAAGTTAAGTGACTTTCCCAGAGTTATGCAGTCAACATGTGTCAAAAGAGGGACCTGAACCCAAGTATTCCTAGCTTTGAAGCCTGGCTCTCTATCCACTCTTACACATGCTGCCTCTCTCACTTTAATGTGGGTGCTTTAAAACAGGTGAAGTTGGGAAACACCTAAATATGAGAAGTCTTGTGAGGAGGGGGACACAACGATTGCAATCTTTTAAGTGTTTCACAAGACTGAAGAATCCCTGTGCACTGGGATGGATCCCAGAGATCACCGAGTCCAATGCAGCTAAATGAGAATCTCCTCTCTCTTGTCCCAGAGGAGTCATCCAGATTCTAATGGAACACTTCCTGGACTGAGGAGCCAGGACCTCTTGAGGTAGCCTATTTCACCTTTGGATAGCCCCAATATTATGAAGTTTTTCCTTTCATTGAGTCTGAATCTGTTTCTCCGCAATTTCCTGCTATCTCATCCTTGTTCTGGCCTTTAGGACCAAGAATAAATAAGTCTAATCTCTTCCACTTGACAGTCCTACAAATCCTTGAAAGTCTCTCTTCTCCAAGATACATATTAATATTTAGTTAATATTAGTAAATTAAAATATTTAGGTAATATTATAAATATATATAAATTAAATAGCTGCTTTTGTTGTTGAGCCGTTTCAGTTATGTCTGACTCTTTGTGACCCTTGTTGGGGTTTTCTTGGCAAAGATACTGGAGGAGTTTACCATTTCCTTCTCCAGCTCACTTTATAGATGAGGAATTGAGGCAAATAGGGTGAAGTGACTTATCCAGGTCAAACAGCTAGTAAGTGTCTGAGGCTGTAATTGAACTCAGGTCATTCTGTCTCCAGGGCCAGCTCTCTATCCAATGTGCCACTTAGCTGCAAATATACTGTTTAATTAATTTATAAAATATGTTTTATATTTTACAAATATAAAACATATTTTAAATATATTTAAATATAAAATATTTATAAAAATTTATAAAATATTTATAAATATTTATAAAATATTTATACTATACATAAAATACTGAGGGCTAACATGAAAATAATGAGAACCTTGGGGGGAAAGTAACTATTCCATTTAGAGTTTATGATAAAAAAGAGTAAAGCTGGGAAAATATGATATGTACCCCAGATTTTGAAAAAAAAATTTCAAAGGTTCAGAAAAAGATTAAGTATGATCTAATAGACAATAATTCTATAGAGGAAGTCAATCCAGGAGAAATGGGAGGCTCCCAAGGATAACATTCTAAAGGCACAAAGAAAGACAAATGAAATATCAATGAGGAAGAAAAAAAGGAGTTGCCTAGAGATAGAGATGTGGATGCACAAGGATCTCATCCACCCACAAAGACTTTTAAAAGGCATGTTTATAGATGGAAGTAAGGGAAGGAAATGAATGATGAACACAAAGGCAAGGCATGGTTCAGTAAAGATGGTGCCAGGAGCCCTAACGCATGGAATAAGCTGAGGCTATCAACGAAAGCCAAGGAAACACAAGATTTGAGAATTGATTTTTCATTATGGCGGTGGTGGTGTTACTATTCTAGGAAAAAGAGGAAACACAAAGGGATATGACTGCTGCTCACAGAGAAAACGACAGTGATAACTAATAATGGAAGGGAAGTGATGCTGCCCAATAATTCTTCTGCCTTTCTATTCTCTGCCAAGAATGATCTTTGAACTAGAAAAGATAGAACAAAAATGGCTCTTAGAAAATCAATACCCAAGATAAATAAGAAGATAGTAAAAGAACACCTAGTTGCTCTTGATGAGCTCAAGTCACCAGGCTCAGAGAACTTAAAAAAAAGAAAAAAACACCTGACAGATGTGATTACTAAGCTACTGTCAGTAATTTGTGAGAAAGAATGGGAGGACCACCATAGGACAAGAGAATGTGGCCCGAGTTTTCAAAAGAGAGAAGAGAGCAGAGCCAGTGAGTTTGGCTATAATTCATGGAATATACTATGAAAGGAACAGTTAGATTGTAAAATTAGATTGTAAGCTCCTTGAGGACAGGGACTGTCTTTTTCCTGTTTTTGCATCCTCAGCACTTCACATAGCATTTGACATAGAGCATGCATATGATAATGGTTACTAATTGATTGATAGTAAAACTTTAGAGATGGAAGCCATGAGAACAAAGAGCTAGCATGGTTTTCTTAAGATGAATTTATGTCAAATTAATTTCAATGTTTTTATCAGGATACAAGACTGGTAAATCAGAAGAGTGTTACACATAGTTTACCTACATTTGAGCAAAACATGTGACAAAGTCCCTCAAGTTATTCTTATGAAAATAAAGTCAAGATTTGAGCTAAATGATGTTAGGTGGATTTGGAATTGGTTGAATGATTAGCCCCTAAAAGTAGCCAGTGATCATTTGACATTAATATGAAAGGAATGATATCTCTAGTGAAATATCCCAGAGGTTGTATTAACATTTTACTTTAAGTGATTTCCGTAAAGATATAGGGATTTTTTAAATATGAAGATAATACAAATGTAAAAGGGATAACCAATATATTAAATGGTAGATCCAGGATCCCAAGAGATCTCAAAAGGCCAAAATGTTGGGTCAAATCTAGTAAGATGAAATTTAATAGAGATAAATATAAAGTCTCACACTTGGGTTCAAAAATTAATTTCACAAGTACAAAATGGGAAAAACATGACAAGGTAGCAGTCTGCCTGAGAAAGTTCAGGCGGTTTCAGAAGATTATAAATTGAACATGAGATAACAAAGTGATAAAGTAGACAAAGGATGCTAATGTAATCTTGGGTTTTATTTAAAAAGGCAGAAGTGTCCAAGACTAGGGACCATATCTTGAGTGCTATGTTCAGTTCTAGACACTATTTTACAAAGGATATTGATAAGCTTGAGACTCTCCAGAGGAAAGTGATCAGAATGGTGAAAGGTCTTGAGATTATGTCGTATCAATCAATCAACAAATATTTATTAAACACTTACCAAGTGCCAGGTAGGGTGCTAAGCACTAAGGATTAAAAAAAAAACCTCATAAATGAAGCAGTCTGTACTCTCTATTGGGAGAAACTGTGTACCAATGGTTATAGCAGGAAAGCACTAACAGCTGAAGAGGATTAAAAGGCAAAATAAGCAAAGGAATCAGAAGGACAGTCAGATAGGTAGGTGGAGAACCAAGAAAAGACAGTGCCTTGGAAGCCCAGAGAGAAATGGCCAGGATGAAGGTGGTCAACACTATCAAATACTGCAGAGATATTAAGAAACATGAGGAGGTTTGGTTGTTCAGCCACTTAATAGGAATACAACCACCATCTTCAAAATCATTTCATATGGATGAGAAAATTAACCTATTTTGCCTGGCAGCAGAAAACAGGACTAAGAGAAATAGGTAGAAAATGAAAAGAGGAAAAATTATCTCACCCACAATGTAATAGGCTGCCTTGGGAGGTAGGGAGAGAAGGGAAGATGGTTGTCTACCTATTGGGATATTGTAAAGAAGCTTTGCCCTCTTTCTGTATTATGAATCCAAAGCAGAATTTCTTTATCTTTTTTGTGTCACGGATCTCTTTGTCAGTCTGATAAAGCCTACTGACTTCTCAGAATCATGTTTTAAATTCATAAAATAAAAAAGACCACAAAGGAAACCAATTATAGGAAATACAGTTATCAAAATATTTTTAAGAAACAAGTTAGTGGAACCTAGGTTAAGAACACCTGATCTTTAAAAAACTAGAGAGTCCTTTAAAAAATAATCTGGTTTGTTTCCCCAGTTGATAAGTGGTCTAAAGATATGGCTAGCCAGTTAGTTCTCAAGGGAAGTAACTATTTATATTCACATGAAAAAATGATACAAATTACTAATAATTAAAGAAATGCAAATTGAGGCAACTAGGAGGTTCTACCTCATACCATCACGTTGGCAAAATTAACCAAAAAAGGAAAATAACAAATATTGGTGGGGCTGTGGGAAAACGGTAGACTTGGTATGTTATTCATGGAGCTTGTGAATTGTTACAATATTCTGGAAAGGAATTTGTAATTGTTACTATGCCCCAAATGTTACAAACTGTGTATATCCTTTGACTCAACAATACCATTGGGAGGCTTATACTTCAAAGAGATGAAAGGAAGAATAAAATGTCTTACATGAACAAAAATATTTACAGCAGCTCTTTCTGTTCAGATAAAGAACTGGAAACCAAGAGACTGCCCTATATAAATGTAACAAAATACTATTTTGTGCTTCCAAAATTACAGATGAAACAATTTCAGAGAAACCTAGAAACACTTGTGTAGACTTGTGCAGAATGAAGTGAGCAGAATCAAAAGAACAATTTATCCTATGACAACACTGTGAAAAAGAAGATTTTTGAAAGACTTAAAAATATGACTTCAGAGAAAATAAAGATTGCTACATACCTGCTGACAAAGAAGTGATAGATTAATATGATGAATAATATATATACAGATTTGGTCTTGGCCAACATGGGAATTTTTTTTTGCTTGATTATGCATATTTATTATAAAGATCTTTTTTTTTCTTTCCACTCCCCCACCCCAGGAAATGGGGATGGGGAGGAAGAAATGCTTCATAACTGAAATTTTTAAAAAAAAATTAATAATAATCTGGCTTAGAAGACCTGATCGACTGTTGATATCCAGTATAACCAAGGAGTTCTAAACAGGCAGCATAATACAGTAGAGAAAGAACAAAGTTTGGATTAAGAGGAAGCCTAGGCTTCAATCACTGGCTCCAACTTCCACTTGCTAGGACACCGTGGACAAGTCTTATCTAATTTATAAACTAGAAATAATAGTCCTTGCTTTCCTTACCTTACAGGGCTATGATGTTGAAAGCCCATTGTAAACCTTAAGGTATAGAACTGTAAGTAATTATTATTCTTAAACCCTCCTAGCATTTTTGAACCAGACATACAAACTGGTGACAGAGGATCACTGACATGAATAGCACCCTAAAACACTGTTCGGTTTTTTTTCCCCTATTATCTCACATAGCACCAATCTAGCCTCTCTCACCAAGACACTGCCTCAGAAAGTTCCGAGAAAACACTCACTAGTTCCTGTTAATGTGAAGAAACTACCCCCTGAGAAAAGGAAGCTGTTTTTCCTCTGTCATCCCCCTAACCCCACGCCATCAGGGTGGGGGGTCGCTGATGGACTTCAGTGGCCTCTCACCTCCACTTCCCGGACGACTCGAATGTGAAAGAAGACTGAGCCTCTTCTCGAGCTGCAGAGCTTCATGGGCCACTCTCTCTTCCATGGATGATGGGTTTGTATTTGGATCTAAATACAAAATGGGGGAAGGGGAAGGCAGCAGGATATAATGATCAACCACAACAAGATAACACATTTCTCCTCCCCGCTCCCTGAAATTAAATCCCCTCACTCTTCACCACTCTAATGTTATATCTACTCTGGCACAGTCATGTGAATTTGAATCTTGAGAGGAACTCATTCTCTAGAACAGGATGAAGTGCCCAGCTTAGTTTTATTTAGGCTGCTTTGAGTGGCAGGTTTCTATCTTTCATCATCGTTGACAGGCAATCTGGACCATTTGGGTCCCACCCCTCAGTGTACCCTCATAAACTGGGTTTTCACTTTGTCTCAGTGACCAGAGCTAACTTTGAGGAAAGCCCCAAAGGTGCCAGGTAACTATAACACCCTCCGCTTCATTCTGCTAGTGTAGATAAAAGGAATATGGGTAAGAAGACAGAAAAGTTATCAACTGGATGTTGGCTAAAATGAAACTAACTGGGTCTAAAAATATGAAGACTCAGATTTCCACAGGTGTCTACTAATGGATTATCATTAGCTCCAGAGAAGTATGATTAAGTTAAAGTAAAAATGTTGTCGGACAGTTGTTTTTCAATCATGTCTGACTCTTTGTGACCCTGTATGGGGTTTTCTTGGCAAAGATACTAGAGTAGTTGGCCATTTCCTTCTCCACTTCATTTCACAGATGAAGAAACTGAGGCAAACAGGGTTAAGTGATTTGCCCAGGGTCACACAGCTTGCAAGTGTCTGAGGACAGATTTGAATTCAGGAAGATGAGTTGTCCTGACTCCAGGTCCTATATTCTATCTACTGCACCACCTAGCTGCCCTTACAATAAATTTTAATTTCATTCAATTTCAACAAAGACTTATTAATTATTATACGTACTCTAGTGTGGTATGTTAAGCACTAGGGATACAGAGGTGAAAAATGGTCCTCAGGGAACTTACAGTCCAATGAGGGTATTTATATCGTATACACAATTAAGTATGATACCCTTTAGAATGAGATTTGCTTTGGGCATAAAATTCAGAGTGGGGAAAGACAGGATGTAATCCAACAAACTGCTTTGGGGAATAGGATATGCTAGGTAACAGTCAAATTCTTGGATCCCTAATGCACAATCCCATAATCCATGGTCTCAATATCAGAGGCGTCAAACAGCAGCATATAGAATCAGAAAATCACAAAAGAATATTGTCTACAATGTATCACATTTTTATTTATTTTGTTAAACATTTTCCAGTTGCATTTTAATCTGGTTCTGAGTTTTCCTGGCCAGCAGGGAGTTTGACATCTCTGTTCTACAACATTACTGAAATCAGGAGATACAATTGTTCACAAATGATAGGGCTTTCTCAAGCTCTCAATGCACAGACTGACAAGCGGCTGAGTTACCAGTTTACAATGAACACCCTAAAAACAACAACAACAACAATAATGATAATAATAACTAATTTACATGCCACCTTCAGGTTTGCTTGTTACTTTCTCCACAACAGCTGGTATTCAAGCCCAAATCCTCTGACTCCAAATCTAAAATTTTTTCTACTATACCACGATGTCCCCTAAGGCCACATTGGCTCCAAATCAATGGTTTAGTTAAAAAAAAAAAGGCATGAGGCTGAGCCTAGTTTTATCTTTCACTGTCCCCTTGGTCCCTTTAACGTCTGACTTCATAGTGAAAAGGATTCCAAGGGAATAACTTCCCAGAATCCATTAGAGCAACCTGGTTTCAAAAAGAATCACAGGATTTTAGCACTGTAAGAAAACTTGTTGCATTTCAATTGGTTTCCTTGGCAGAGACACTAGAGCAGTTTGCCATTTCCTTCTCCAGCTCATTTTACAGATGAGGCACTATGGCAAACAGGGTGCAGTGACTTGCCCAGGGTCATTCAGCTAGTAAATGTCTGAGACCAGATTTGAACTCTTGAAGATGTGTCTGCTTGATTCCAGCCCAGCACTCCATCTACTTCACCACCTAGCCACAGTAAGGAACCTTAAAGATTATCTAATCAGAGAGGCATAGCTCAGCATCTGGAAGGGACCTCAGAAGCCATCTAATTCAATCCTTTCATTTTACAGGTAGGAAACCAACGTACCGGAAAATTAAGTGATCTGCCCACAGTCTGTCTCTCTCTGTCTCTCTCTCTCTCACACTCCCACACACACACACACACACACACACACACACACACAAAATAACAGAAATAAGATTTGAACCTAGATCACCTAACTCCTAATCCAGTGCTCTCACTTCCCACTGCCTCTTCAAGATGAGACAGGTTTGGATACTTTCAAACTGCATTACTATAGAACACTTAGCGTCTCTGAAAATCAGTCTCCTTATCTGCCAAATGGAGACAAAAATATTTATACTGTGAGGAAAGGGCTTTGCTAACGTGAAAGCAGTATAGGAAGGAGACCTGGTATTAGGAGGTAGGTAGAGCAGGAACATTCAGTTCCATTTTTTTTTCAGATGAGAGGTTAATCTCCTTGCCAAGGTCAAATAGCTGAATAGCCTCAAAACCAGCAATAGAATCCAGCTCTTCTGTTTCTAAGTTTCCTTCCTCCCCTAAGATCCTGCCCCACCTCTAAAGCCCTCCAAAGCTGCTTACTAGAACACCTAAAAACTGTTTCTGCCAAGGCAGCAAGTTAATGTTGGTCAACCATTGCAGACTTTGTGGATTATAAATACTTCAAAGCTTCAGATTAACATCACGCCCCAACCAGATGTTGGTGGCAATCTGGAGGGTATTTCAACAAGATTACTGTCAAGAGTTTAAAAATGCCTGGCATCCTTAGCAGCCATCGTACCAATGGCTATCCTTCCTTTTAACTGTAAGCCCCCCCCCCACCTAATTACATGAGGAATAGATCAGTGCAGGAGGAGGGCCTAGCTGTCTCAGAAACATAGCCAATTTATCCTCATTCTCTAAAAAGAGGCAGCAGCATCACCAAGGCACCATTGAATTTCTCTAACTCTAACTCTAACCAGTAGTCAGTTCAGCCTCCTGCTGATCTCTATCCATTGCTAGCGAGGAGGAGCTCATTACCTTTCAAAGCAGCCCAGTCTCATTTTTAGACATCACATTTTTAGGTAGTTTTCCTCTCACTGAGCCAAATTCTAACAACAATGTAACCTCTACCCATTGCTCCTAGTTTGGTTCTCAGGAGCAGAATATGACATTTTAAAACTCTGCATAAAATCTGAAAGCATGTTGATAAAAGTTTAAAAATGTAGACTCCCAGGCATCTGAAAATTGTTCCTTCTTCAAGATCTATGCTATTATGTTTCTCAGAAAAAGTAATCATTTTCCTTGACAAATTAATTGTTTAAGAAAAGTGAGTTATGTTTAACATGATTATACATGTATAACCTATATCAGATTGCTTGCTGTATTGGGCAGGGGGAAGGAGAGGGAGGGAAGGAGGGAAGGAGAAAAAATTGGAACTCAAAATTTTACAAAAATGAATGTTCAAAACTATCTTGACATGTAACTGAAAAAAATACTACTAAAGAAACATTTTTAAAAATAAAAGACTGATGGAAGGAAGGAAGGAAGGAAGAAGGAAGGAAAGAAGGAGAGGAGAGGAGAGGAGGGGCTTCTAATCAGGAGAGCTGGGTCTGGATCCTAGCTCTGCCAGATTAACTGTGTGACTACACACATGCAAGTCACTCTTTCCCAGACTCTATTTCCTTTTCTATAAAAGAGGATTAATATCACCAACTTCTCAAATATCCTTTTTGTTGTTCAGTTATTTTTCAGTCATGTCTGACTTTGTGGCTGTGTAAGGGGTTTTCTTGGCAAAGATACTGGAGTGGTTTGCCATTTCCTTCTCCAGCTCATTTTACAGATGAGGAAAGTGAGGCAAACAGTGACTTGCCCAGGATCAAGTAGCTAGTAAGTATACGAGGCCAGATCTGAACTCAGGGAGATGAGTCTTCCTGACTCCAGGTCTGGGACGCTATCTACTGTGCCACCTAGCTGCCCCATCAAATACCCTATCCACTTCTCAAAATTGTTGTGAGGTTCAAATAGGAAAGTAGAAGAAATACTCTGTAAATATAAAGTACTATATGCTAATAACCGCAGCTCACATTTGTATCCTGCTTCAAGTTTACAAACAGAATTTTTTACAACCACCCTTTGGGGTGGTTAGTGCAAGATAATTATCCATATTTTAAAAAGAAAAAAACTAAAGAGAAGGAATCTCAGAAAAGCAAAGTGAACTGGTCACACAGCTAATAATAATGTGTTGGAGCCAGGAGAAGAAGCATTATTATACTTGGAGTTCTCTGTTTGAGAGCTGGAAATCAGAAGCATAATTTCCCCTAAAGGCTTAGAGATCCTTGTCTTTTGAAGTTTTAAAATACCTCCCTGTCTTGTCTTTCTTTTGTTGACTCCTTTTGGGTAGTTAATCCAGGCAAACTGCTTCAGGGACTTGAAGAGGACAAGATGAATTCCACGATACACTGTGAAAGTTAATTTCCTACAGATGAGGGAAAGGAAGGAAAGAATTCTAGATAGAACTAAAGAAAATACAAACTCTTTGGCTCAGCCTTTAAGACTTTTCACAATCTAGCTTCAACCCTCCTTGAGTCCTTTACCAAAAGGTCTTCTTAATACTCTAGATCCCAGCCAAACTTGACTAGGAACTGGGTCCTGACTCTACCCTGCCTGCCCCAACTCATCACCACATATGTTCATTACAGTGTGAAAGCATGCCCACTTTTCATCTCTGCCTACTGAAATTCCTCCCTTCCTTCAAAGCCCAGCTCAAGTGCCATCTCCTTCATGAAGTCTTCCCTTACTCCCCTAGCTAAAAGTCATCTTTACCTCCTTAAATTTTATAGCATTTTGAACATCACCACCACCTTGGCACATACTCCTTGCATTTGTGCATTTCATTGCATACATAGTAGATGCCTAACATGGTCCAGTGAGAAAAGAGCTACGTTCAGAGTCGGTGGACCTGAGTTGGAATCTCTACCTTGCCTCTGCCAC